CTCAACCAATAGCAATACATTTATTATAATCACTGACCTCAAAGATGCATCTTGTTATATNTTTGGTGTACGTGCCTATACTCAGAATGGATATGGAAAATGGGCAGTTATTGTTAATGGGACCCTAAAACTACCACAACAATCACCTTGCTTCCCTTCAAATAGCAATGGATCCAACACTGCCAATAGTGATACATCCAATACTGTTATTGCTCTAAGTGTGTTAGTAGGTGTATTGTGTATTCTACTAACTGTCAGTGTTATTATTCATATCAATTACTTCATAAGGTATAGTTTACAATATTTATCAGTAAAATTTATTGTTTTGCCTTTAGAAAGAAGAGTTCATATGCTACTAACAAACAAACAAAGTTAGCTTATCATCTTATGACTTGCCTTTTACCAAATATAATAATAGGAGTGATGATAATATTCCAATGCAAGTCTGTGAACCTTACGAAATTCATAAGAAAAGATTAAATGAAGAAAATGAAGAAGCATATGCAGAATGCCAAACATCACCTGATGATATTTATGAACCTATGCCGCAATGAATGCTCCTTAAAAACTGTTAAAATATCCTCTAGTTTTACTGTAGCTTGTTAAAGAATAACTTTTGTTGTACAAATAGTAAAAAAACAAGATTTTGTGAGTGCATTAATGAAAATTGTTGTAGGTTTAGGCTTTATGCTAGCATAATGTACTCCTATTGAATTCATCTTTGCGAAGGAAGTGGAAGGATAATTTATAATTACCAAGATTGACCCTTAAATGAATCATCAGTAGCCACTTACAATGACACAATCAAATGCTATTGCATTTGGTTCCTGCATACCTATGGTTCCTGCAGCACTACTGAACTTAGAATTTGCATTTCATTTAACATCCGGTCTAATACTTGAGTAGCTCCACCTCATGGCCATACCTTGCTCCCCCACGTGGCTTAAGCAATCAATGTCATTGCAATCATAGACCCTGCTGCAATCATAGATGCTACACTCGAGCAGCATCCCAGCCTTCACCAACTTTCTTTCCTTCTTTCTGAACGAACTAATTTAATTTCCTCAGTTTGAGCTCTGAGGAGGTGAAGAAACTTGGCACGAAACGTGTCACGAACTCAACATATCTATCGTTTGATGACCTGATGACCTCCCACATCCAAACAATGGCCTGTAAGACTCGCTGGAGACTAGTCAGGCACTGTTTCCTACTGAAGCCCACTGTAGTTATGTCTCACCTTTGGCTGAAACTATATCCTGGTCTCTTTGGTCACATTACTTTGCCTCTAGACTCCAGACTCCTGGTATTGAGATTGATTGGATGACCATAAAGTGCACCATTTTTAGGTGAGAATGAACACTACTTGGTTACAGTGAATTACATATATTTTGATCTATACCCAATTTGCCAACTCGAATTTTGTAAAAATTCATTCACATTAATATACAAATCACTATAATACATGTTTCCCTCAAAGCATGTAAAGTGTACTTAAAACTTGTTTCATGAGCTCACAACAAGTACTATTATGGCTTTTAGAGCTACTTAAAAATTTAATTTTGATTGGAAGCAGCTCCAAATTTTATACACAACTGACAAAATTTGGCTAATGACCCTGTTGTCTGATTTTTAAGTAAATTTGAAAATTTATAAAAAAAATTCAATTTTGATCGTAATCAGCTTAAACTTTCTATGCAAGATAAGCACATGTATATGATTCAGATAAAAATAAAAATTGAGAATTCTCTCCTAGTCATTTTGACAGAATACCCTGTACTGTTGTACAGGTTTTTTTGTCAAATTTTAGAGCAACAGTCTGGAAGCCAAGGAGCATATGATTGCTCTTTTCTCCTGCTTGAGGGTTGAGTGGTGGACATGTTTTTTTAGGTCGAAATGGTCTCAAAAATATTGCACTTCTTAATTTTGTTGTTCTCTTTTTTGTAGATGACAGAGTTTAGAGTTCAAAAGTTTGAGAATGATGAGACGACAGTCCTACAGAAGATACTACAGGACACTATTGACACTGAGGAGCTATAATGGTGGAGAAGAGGAAGATAGCTAGCCAGAATGAAGTGATAAATGAGAATGAGGCTGTCACTAAACCAAAAAGGTCACAATTATTGCATTTTATTTGTTTCTTGTTGTATTTTGCATTAATGAATTTTTTATTCATTTTTGCCCTTTTCTTTCCTTCCCAGTCAATAGCTCAGAGGTTGTGGACCTACTGGACTTCACTTCAGACGAACGTAAACTCATACATGGACAGTGACATTAATAAAAGATTGAAATACACATTTGTTCCCAGTGGATTAAAACAAGTAAGAGAGAGGGAAGAAGAGATTATTAGACAAAAGACAATGACAAAATGATTATCTTGAAACAGTGCCATATTATAATGTGTACTTTTCTTGTAGACATTATGAAAGAGCTAACTATATGTACAAGTACAAGTATATGTATGCAGCTTGACCTCTCATATCACCAGATCCTAACATCAATGATCGGAATACCAATGGTATGTGACTGCATTATGTACATGTACATGTATTGCATTTATTATGATTCATTACTCGTCTGTAGTGTTTCCCACAAATTAGCTACCTACATGTACATTGTACTCTATTTGTCATAAAATTTGAGTTATTTCTGTACATGTACATGTACATGCACATGTACTGTACATTTAAATGTATGTTGTACATTATTTTAAAGAACAGGTACACTAGCATATCAGCTTGTAAACAACACCTCCACACATTGTTATTATTGTTATTGTTATTGTTGTTGTTACTGTTGTTTTTAGATGATCATTCTAATGTCAAATTACAATTGAAAGTCCTAATGTCCCTGGGTCAGATTACACACTTATATCAAGACAACTACATGTGCTACATACATTGACGTAAGATGTTAATTTTCATTAAATAAAATTAATTATAACTGCTACTTACATGTAGCTTTAATGTACTTATTTTGAGTGGTTTTAAAGGATTTAGGTCTTTAATATTTTAGGATTAATTCTCTATTTGTTCTTCTTCTCTCAGGAAAATCAAAAGGAAAATGCCAACATTATGCATCTCAGAGTCCAGTTCCTTACTTTATTGATGACTTCTGGTGGAACAGAATGTAGAAACAGTTGTAATACTGACAAACTTTGAAGAGAAAGGAAAAGTAAGTTATACATGTATGTGTAATATTAACTAATAATGAATGAACATGTAAAATTGGAAATGTATGAGTTTTAGAATGTGCATGGCATTTGCTACTTAATTAAGTAAATGTGTACGTACGTTAATATGTATCAGAAAATGTAAAAAAAATTAATTTGATTTTTTGGAGTGATTTTTTAAAGCTTGGGTCATACATTGTAGTATAGTGATTTTTCAGAAATTGACCAGTTGTTAAAACAGGATAAATTCAAAAAATTAAGCCTATTGGAATCAGCCCAAACTTTCTACATAGCGTAAGTACATCAATATGTATCAGAAAATGTAATAAAAATTGGGGGGCGATTTTGGGGCCATTAAAAAAAATACCATGGGCTATAGTACAGAGATATTTTCAGAAATTGGCCGATTTGCAAAAACAGTCATAACTCAAAAAATTTAAACCGTAATCAGCTCAAACTTTCTACATAGCGTAAGTAGATCAATATGTATCAAAAAATGTAATGAAAATTAGGGGTGATTTTGGGGCCATTTTTTGAAAAATACCATGGGCTATATATAGTACAGGGATATTTTTGGGAATTGGCCAATTTTCAAAAACGGTCATAACTCAAAAAATTTAAACCGTAATCAGCTCAAACTTTCTACATAGCGTAAGTACATAAATATGTATCAGAATATGTAATAAAAATTGGAAGGGATTTTGGGGCCATTTTTTGTAAAATACCATGGGCTACAGTACAGTGATCCTTTTTGAAATTGGCACTGGAGCTTTTTACTTTTATGATATTCTTTTTTTTTCTAGGCAATGTGTGGCCTGATTCTGGTACATGCACTGAGATGTACAGATTCTTTGAGACAACGCTTCACTCAATGAAGGAATACCCAGACTACACTGTACATACATGTACTTGGAAAATTCAAGATAGTTGACAGCAGAGTGAGAGGTAATACATGTACATGTGTACATGTACCTTTACTTTCATTTGTATTGATATGTACATGTATATAGTTCATGCATAATCCATAATTATCTCCTTTGAAAATGAAAATTGTGCTAAATTTTAGTGATTGGTTCTGTTGCATTTTTAGTGACTATAACTCTTCATTATTGCACTTTGTTTACATTGTATATATAGTATTCTGCTGTTTTCTCCTATGTACATGTAGGATGCTGAGGGTAGTAGTCAACATGTTAAACAGTTCCAATGTGTACCTGATTCAGCCATTGGTCTATTGGACGTGAGAGAAGAAGTAGAGAAATGTCAGAGGAACTCTGATGACAAACCAACATTCACTGAAGGTTAGTACATGTACATTGTATACACCTCTAGTATTTGAATTTGTGTAGATTGTGAGTATAGCACTGTATTTAGCAAAGACCAGTTTTACATGTACACTATATTAGAGGATCAGATTTATGTACAGGTACATGTGCTTGCATTTGTTCACCATTTTGTCTGTCATAATTTCTCTTCTCTCTCTCTCTTACACTCTCTGACTAGTTTTGCCTTTTATACATGCTTATGTGTACTGATGTTTCATTTCATTTTATTTTGGTAAATATTGATAATAGCTACATTTATCTCTTTCTTTCAGGATCAATATATTGACTCTCTTCGCACTTGTGCTAACTTCAGCTTATGAAAGTGAACTATATTGTTTTTTGTTTACTGATTTGGTGCTGTACATGGTTCTACATTCCAATAATACTTGATTGTTGGTAGTATAATTATACTCACCGATAGTACAATAATTATTATCAACTATACTGCATACTGTACATCTATTCCAGATACTTTTGGACCCAATGTAATACTGTCCTGATTATCAAAGTGTCCTTATTTCAGAAGTTCATCAATACACATTTATATTGTATTGGGGCTGATACTACCTGTCCTGATTATAAGAGCTGTCCTAATTTTAGGGTGTCCACAATAGCAGGATGTGCATGTACATCCATACAAATTATGAATATGATTAAGTACAACCCACAATAGACTGTCACTAATGCTTGCTTTATAAGGACACAGTGTAGTCTTCTTTGCTTGGCTATCCAATGCTTCAAAATTGTAAGCTGCTAAAGTAAGGTGATTAGTCCTTACAGTCTTTTGTATTAGTGATTCTGGTTTTGGTAACACTAGTTATTAATTTATTTGTTTATTCTTAAGTAAACCATGCATGTACATGTTTTTATGCTTTGTAGAAATTTTGAGTGGATTGCCATTGATGTTGAAATTTTTATGAACTTTTAAAGCTATAAAAATTAGTCTTGTTTTCATTGAACTATGTTTTTAATAACTAGCCTCGCCTTTCACGTGAATGCGCATGCGCACAGGTGAATGGTCACATGCTAGCTCCAAGTGAAACTATTGACGTCATTTGGTATCTCTATAGTAACTGTTTTACGTCAGTAAGGCTGACCAATCAGATTCGTCTGCGAAGGTCACTTCCCGGGAAAACCCAGAGGCTATATATTGAGCTACCCCTAGTCTTCCTACGCATTTCTGACATTTTTCTGGAAGGAGAAGGATCAGTCTTCAAGGGCTCTGTCTCTGCTACAGTTAGTAATGGCTGCCTGTCTTCCTCCTCCTCTCTCTCTCTCCTACTTCTTTCTTCCAATCACTCATTTATTCATATTCTTTTTCCCTACAGGTTGGCAGCAGTTGGCCCATTCTTCAGTCTTTCTCTCTCCTCTAAAAGGTCACGATGGGTTGTGACCTTTTCCTTCAATGGCTGCTACACCTGCTCATGGTTAGCAGTCTCTCTCTCTTTCTCTCTTCTTTTATCTGTTTTACTTTTCCCTGTACTATTTTATCTTTGTTGCTCATTTTCTTTTCTCATACAGGTTAGCAGTTTTGGCCCTCCCCTTGGACAAGCTAGAATTTAGTTGACGTTCCATATTTTCCCTGGCCACATGCTTAGTTAAATTTCCCGCCCTTTTTGGATGCCACGCCCACAAAAAGGAGGCACAAACGGACACAAGATTGATCAATAGGACGAGAAAGAGAAAGAATGGATTTGACCTCAAGTGAGGAATTCATTTTTAGTAGAGCCATGTATGTCTCAGTTGTAGTTGTTGTAGACACTTGTCTGCATAGCCTCTTGTTTGCTTGTTGTTAGTTGTTTTGATAGTGTACTGTAGCCTGTTGTGTGTATAATACTGTAGCCTATTGCTGTATACTGTACTGTACTGTAACTTACTGTGTTTGCACAGTACTATAGCCTATTGTCTGTAATGTACTGCAGCCTATTGTGTGTATAATACTGTACTCTACTGTAGCTTATTGCTGTATACTGTACTGTACTGTAACTTACTGTGTTTGTACTGTACTGTAGCCTATTGTCTGTAATGTATTCTATGTACTGTACTGTACTGTGACCTGTTGTGTGTATAGTATACTGTACTGTACTGTAGCCTATTGCTGTATACTGTTCTGTACTGTTGTATACGGCACTGTACTGTAGCCTATTACTGTACTAGTATATACTGTACTACTCTGTTGTACTCTAGCATGTACATGTATGCATGTACTGTACTGAAGCCCATATGTTCACTTGCTTTTTATTTCAATTTAGGAGCTGTAATTGCCAAGCCTTGTCAAGTTTTCATTGACGTCCTCTCTCATTGTACATCCGTGGAACTGGACGTGTGACGTGAACTGAAGCATTTTAGGGTTGTTAGTACCTGGAGTCATTCGTATCGTTGGTATGGATTCTCATGGAGTGGATTCTCATGGATCAATCAGCAAGTCAAAAGTTATAATGCTAGCTGGGCTGGCCGACCAGACCTGGCTAGTAACACACACATACAATCCTTGCATGTCATTATATGAACGTTCCCATTTGCATGCGTATAATACCATTAGGGAGGGGCCGACAACACGAAATATCACGCGTATGTACTAATGTAAAGAACCCTGTAGTGTAAGTACATTCCCCGTTATTACCGGCTGGCCTGATACGCTTGTATAGCTGTCCCATCATACACTAGACAGTATGTTTCTAGTAATATTTGTGAGGGAGATCCTGTCAAGAATGAAAAGCTGGTGCATTGATTGCAGTAACATGTTAGTGGGTGTGTGTGTGTGTGGGTTTGTACCCAACCCGCATACACACCCTCATTAGTGTGTCCAGCTTTTCATTCTTGACAGGATCTTTCTCACGAGGTAATATTACTTGAGATATGTTGACTGGTGTGTGCTGGGATGTAGGAATTATAATCATGTATTGCTAGTATAGTGTATGTATGTGTGTGGCAGGTCGGTCAACAGTTAGTCAAAACTGACTGCTGTTTGCAGCGTTCAAGAGAGGTCAGGTAGCTGCATAAATACAGCATGCCTTCTTGTCGCTGTAGGTAATAATGGTAATATTAATATTTAAAAATGAAGATAATAGCCTTTCATCAACTACCATGGACCTACTCAAGGATATCCCAGGGTTAGAATGTCTCTTCTCCTCTTGTCTTTCTATCTTTTCTTTGTTCCTCTTTTCTTAATTGTCCTCTTATTTCTAATACTCCAATGTACTTTTCCTTGAATTGAGTATGAGATTAAAGTACATGTAAAACTTGTAATTAACTTTAAAACCAAAACTAAAAACTTTTGAAAACCTATAGCACATGCAAAAGTATAAATATAAGTACTTATATACCATTATCTATTGCTCCATAAATACAGAATAATTCAAGCCTTACATGTAATTACTAACTCTATGCATGAAAAGTCAAAAGTACATGTAAGACTATGAAAATAACTATTAATATAGAAACTAAAAATTATAAACCAAAGTGGCCTTTAATTAAATATTAATGTGTGGTGGGTGATAGTGTGATGTGAGTGATGAGAATAGCAATACCCAATGGGCCCAATAGGATACTAAAAGCCTAATGTAGACCATATTTAAACAATACTCAAAATTCAAAGTAGAAGTTTAAGATTAATATAAAACTTGGAATTATTTTTGTGCATTGAGCATTAATGGAGCAGATGAGCATCCTCCATTTGATTACCTTTCAAATATTAGGAGTACACATTGGTTGGGAATATACAAAGAATTTAGGGAGAGCTGATAAGCAGAGTCTAGTAAGGCACTGCTTACTAAAGTAGCTAATTTTTGAGAGAGACAGAGAGGGGGAGAAAAGCAGAATTGAGAGGAGACTTCAACTTCTTTTCAAGATCGATTCTTTTATGGAGGTAACATTCGTCATGGAATAATTCCATCTTTTGCTTTGTCTCGTGAGCTTAAAGAGAACATTCCAGAGCTGATACTATTAAACTATACCAGCTACACCAGGAGCCACTAGACAAATGGAGGAGAGAGGACTTTGAAGAGAAGAAGAACAGCTGATCCAGAAATTGACTGAAATCAACTTCTTTTGAGAGAAAGAGGTTCCTTTTTAAGAGAGAAAGAGAGCTGAGGAAGGTATTGTAACAATCTAGTCTAAGACATTAACTGTAAACTATAGATTAAAGTACTTGTAATCAGCCTATATATATATATATGCAACTAAAACTCAGCTTTTACTTTAATTTAAAACTAGATGACAAACAGATTACTTTTAATGATTTTGATCTACTTATTTGAGAGAAAGAGAAGTTCTTTTTTTGAGAGAAAGAGACCATTTTAGAGAGATAGAGAGGCATTGTAGCAAGTTTATGATTAGTTATACAACTATTAATTTTTTGAACTTTAAAATAAGCATCCCCCATTTAATTTTGAAACTTCAATTTAGCCTTTAAAATAAGGAGGTAGACATGGTGCACACTGGTTATGGGTCAAGTGGGTCAGTGAGAGCTGTAAGTTGTGAGGCTACTTGATCGGTCAAGCATAATTCCCGCAGGGAGCGGTGGTGGCAGGGCGGTTTACCTATACAGTTTCCTTACACATGTGATTGCTGGTTCACTTGTTTCTGTGGCTAGTGTGTGCCTTGTTTACCTAGTGATGAGTTAATGCTAGCGGGTATGGTTGATACTGGTGGCCTGGTGGGCACTGGTGGCATGAGGGCTGGTGAGTACTGTAGTGTCTACCTGGGATTTAAGACACGGTATACCACGACTGAACAAATTGCATTATGATGGCATGACGTTCATAAGTTGGGTCTCCAAGCTTTTCCTTGTGTTAATCTACAAGTGCTCATCAGTTTCTTGTGTTATTGGTGTTTGCTATGTGTCATCAGTGTTAGTTGTATTTGCTAGTATGCACTTGTCACTTTAGAACAGAGCATAATAATGAAACAATATATTATATTTGAATTTTAAATTACAAATTAAAATTCAAAAATTTACATGTAAAAGACTGTTCCAGTACAGAAGAGTGTGCTTGATACTAAAGATCATTTTCATACGGAGGATTGTGCTTGATACTAAAGATTATATGGAGGATTGTGCTTGATACTAAAGATCATTTTCATATGGAGGATTGTGCTTGATACTAAAGATTATACTGAGGATCGTGCTTGATACTAAAGATCATTTTTATACGGAGGATTGTGCTTGATACTAAAGATTATACTGAGGATCGTGCTTGATACTAAAAATCATTTTTATACGGAGGATTGTGCTTGATACTAAAGATTGTACGGAGGATCGTGCTTGATACTAAAGATCATTCTCATACGGAAGATTGTGCTTGATACTAAAGATCATTCTCATACGGAGGATTGTGCTTGATACTAAAGATTATACTGAGGATTGTGCTTGATACTAAAGATGATATGGAGGAGCGTGCTTGATACTAAAAAAATCATTCTCATAT